TTAAGCTGTCTTTTATGTATTTGTGAAAACTTATTCTTCGTAATCTTAACTAATATAGAAATTTAACTATAATATAGATTAAGAATATGAAGTTGAGGTCATAGGGCTTATAGATTTCATGAGAGAGTTAAAGCGAAGTAGTAGTACTTTAACTATATAATGTTTATACAGTAAATAAAATTAAAGATCAGCTTGATATTGGAGCGGTCACTGAAGTTATTTATTATTATTTTTTTATTAGTCATTAGTTTCTAGAATAAGTTCAAGCATTTATTTCTTGTACTTTTTGTTTTTTGTTTGTTTTTAGATTGGGAGGTTTTTTTTTTTTTTTGATTATACTAAATTAAAATTATTTTAATAAAATTTTGGTTTAACAGAATTTTGTCTGTGACAAGATTATAGTTTTAGATTTAAGTTATTAAGATCTTATAACAAAAACTTTGCCAGTATTAATTTTATTATAGATCTAGTTATTTTTATACATAACAGTTTTTTTCTTCGTAACGATTTAATTAAAGTTTAGAACTTCGATTAATTTTGATTAACCAATAAAATTTTTACTATATCACGAGATGATTTACAAAAATTGGCTAATCACAATGAAAGCCTGCTATGTTAGCTGTAGTAGTATTAGTACTAGGTATCTACCTTCTAGATTCGGTGACTACAATCAGTGCAAGGACCATGTATTTTGATATTTTTGATGTATTTTGATATTTAGGCATTGCGGCTGTAGGCAGTATAAGACTATGTGTTTCATGCTGAGGCTCTACGGCTGCAGCGGCAGTACAAAGACCTTTTAGCATTTAGTGCTTTCATACTACAAGTTCATCAACAGCAGTATTCTGATTCTCATTGCAGCTATGTAAATAATAGTCTACCTTTAGACACAGTAATTGTAGTAAATTAGTATTTCCCCTTTGGAGTTTACGTTATATGAACGAATATATATAGGCTAGAGCCAGTTTAGTGATAGTAGACCTATTCCCATATGCTTCTTCAAACACTTAGTACTATAATAATAAAGTCTCTGATCGAGCAATAATAATTGTATTTGTAACTAGATTTATATATAAAAATATTAAGCTAAATCAATTATATTGTTAGTAGCCAATAAAAATTCAAAGATCGATACTCTCTATACAGTCACACCTCTATATAATCACCAAATTTACTAGAACTGAGGGTGTGACTATAGAGAGGTTAGACTGTATATGGCAACACACTCTTTTTCTATTAAGTTTGTTAATTATTCTTTGCTTCAAGAAAATAATTTGCTAACAGAAGTTTTTATAGTCTTATTACAGAGAATTGAAAATTTTCATCAAGCAAATGCAGTAATTTTTGAAAACTTTTGTATTCTACTATACTAAATGGCTATGAATTATCAATGATAAATAAAATTAAATCTTGCTATATCAATTCATATTCATTCTTAGTTCTATTAAATTGATTTTTAATAGATCAGCAAGAATTATTTTTTGATATCCTATGCTAATGAGCAAGATGATTAATTAAGTTTGAAGTTGTTAAATAGTTATTATACAAGATACTATATTTTTTCCATTATCCAATATTAGAGTAGCTGCGCAATATGTAATGCTATGCAGGACCAGTATGATCACATATAACATGTAAATTCGGACTATTCAAAAGTTATTGATAAAGGATTTCAATACTCATTAAACATACAAACTTAGAAATATAATGTAATTATGGTAAATTCTATATGCGAGAATATTATCTTTTAGGTAATGATACAGCACAAATTCTTTAAAGTTCATTCATTTTAGTGTTAGGGTTAGTTTTATGGGCTAAAGAAGAGTAGTTTGCATAGTAAAATTGCTTAACGAAAACTTTTTTGTTAGAGCACCAAAAGTGATTTCTTATGTATAATTACAAGAAGTAAGCAAAATGAATATTTGTTTTGAATTTTCTTGATAGTGTTACATTGCAACTGATCTTGAAATCTAATTCGTAGCTCAGGCAATCTGTGCACACATTTAAGGGGTGTAATAGGAAAATTCAAAATGAACAGTGCGTATTGTCAAAAATTACTTTTTTCTTGAAGAATTGCATATATAACTACTCTTCGTACACTAATAAAAAATTTTTCTTGAGCAATTTTACTATGTATCTTTTTAGAATAAGAGTCTTGACCCTAACACTAAAATAAACGAACTTTAAAGAATTTTGACTGTGCCACAAACCTGACACACATTCAAGTAATGCCCTGATTTTGAAATCTGATTTGTAGCTCAGGCAATCAGCACCACAAACCTGGCACACAAATTGAAGAACTGTATAGATTACAAATGATGATGACATTAATTATAATGATCAAATTAAATCATTATAATCTCGATGCTTACCCTAAATAATCATTATCTTATATGATTATCATAATAATATTTAAATAAGCAAAACATGATAACCATAATACTTTCTAAAATAGAAAAAAATATAGTGCACCAAAAAGTTGAACGGTACCATCCATCTACATATTTCATGTTATACCTT